ACAAATGGATTAAAAAGGAAGATCCAACAATTTGTTGCTTACAGGAGACCATCTCACGACAGAAATAAGCATAGGCTTAGGATGAAAGGCTGGAAGAAGATTTACCAAGCCAATGGCCCCCAAAACAGGCAGGAGTAGCAATACTTATCTCTGACAAAGTAGACTTCAAACCTACATTGATCAAACGAGATAAAGAAGGACATTCCATACTAATAAAAGGGGAAATAGACCAAAAGGAAATAATAATATCAACCTGTATGCACCCAATGTCAACGCACCCAATTTCATCAAACATACCCTGAAAGACCTAAAAGCATATATAAACGCCAACACAGTGGTTGTGGGAGACTTTAACACCCCATTATCATCAATAGATAGGTCATCCAAACAAAAATCAATAAAGAAATCCAAGATCTAAAATATGCAATAGATCAAATGGACCTAGTTGATGTCTACAGAACATTTCATCCAACTCTACACAATATACATTCTTCTCAGCAGCCCATGGAACCTTCTCCAAAATAGATCATATCCTAGGGCACAAAGCAAGCCTCAGCAAATATAAGAAAATAGAAATATACCGTGCATACTATCTGACCACAATGCAGTAAAAGTAGAACTCAACAACAAAAGTAAAGACAAAAAACATGCAAACAGCTGGAAACTAAATAACTCATTACTTAATGAAGAATGGATCATCGATGAAATAAAAGAGGAAATTAAAAAGTTCCTGGAAGTCAATGAAAATGAAAACACAACCTACCGGAACCTATGGGACACAGCTAAGGCAGTCCTGAGAGGAAAGTTTATAGCCATGAGTGCATATATTAAAAAGATGAAGATCCCAAATCAATGACCTAATGATACATCTCAAACTCCTAGAAAAACAAGAACAAGCAAATCCCAAAACAAATAGAAGGAGAGAAATAATAAAAATAAGAGCTGAAATCAAGAAATAGAAACCAAAAAAACCATACAAAGAATTAATGAAACAAAAGTTGGTTCTTTGAAAAAATAAACAAGATCGATAGACCCCTGGCAAACCTGACTAAAATGAGGAGAGAAAAAACCCAAATTAGTAGAATCAGGAATGCAAAAGGGGAGATAACAACAAACACCATGGAAGTCCAGGAAATCATCAGAGACTACTTTGAGAACCTATATTCAAATAAATTTGAAAATCTTAAAGAAATGGACAGATTTCTAGATACATATGATCATCCAAAACTGAACCAAGAGGAAATTAATCACCTGAATAGACCTATAACACAAAATGAAATTGAAGCAGCAATCAAGAGTCTCCCCAAAAAGAAAAGTCCAGGACCTGATGGATTCTCTGCTGAATTCTATCAGACCTTTAAAGAAGAACTGATACCAACCCTCCTTAAACTGTTCCAAAATAGAAAGGGAAGGAAAACTGCCAAACACATTTTATGAAGCCAGTATTACACTTATCCCAAAACCAGGCAAAGACACCTCCAAAAAGGAGAACTATAGGCCAATCTCCTTAATGAACATTGATGCAAAAATCCTCAACAAAATAATGGCAAACCGAATTCAACAACACATCAAAAAGATTATTCACCAGACCAAGTAGGCTTCATCCCAGGGATGCAGGGTGGTTCAACATACGAAAATCAATAAACGTAAAACCACATTAACAGAAGCAAAGACAAAAACCACTTGATCATCTCAATAGATGCAGAAAAAGCCTTTGATAAGATCCAACATCATTTCATGATAAAAGCTCTAAGAAAACTAGGAATAGAAGGAAAGTACCTCAACATTATAAAAGCTATATATGACAAACCTACAGCCAGCATTATACTTAACGGAGAAAAACTGAAACCATTCCCTCTAAAATCAGGAACCAGACAAGGATGCCCACTATCTCCACTCCTATTCAACATAGTACTGGAATTCCTAGCCAGAGCAATTAGGCAAGAAGAAGGAATAAAAGGAATACAAATAGGTAAAGAAACTGTCAAAATATCCCTATTTGCAGACGACATGATCCTATACCTTAAAGACCCAAAAAACTCTACTCAGAAGCTTCTAGACATCATCAATAGCTATAGCAAGGTAGCAGGATATAAAATCAACATAGAAAAATCATTAGCATTTCTATACACTAACAATGAGCAAACTGAAAAAGAATGTATGAAAACAATTCCATTTACAATAGCCTCAAAAAAAATCAAATACCTAGGTGTAAACCTAACAAAAGATGTGAAAGACCTCTACAAGGAAAACTATACACTTCTGAAGAAAGAGATTGAGGAAGACTATAGAAAGTGGAGAGATCTCCCATGCTCATGGATTGGTAGAATCAACATAGTAAAAATGTCGATACTCCCAAAAGTAATCTACATGTTTAATGCAATTCCCATCAAAATTCCAATGACATTCATTAAAGAGATTGAAAAATCTACTGTTAAATTTATATGGAAACACAAGAGGCCACGAATAGCCAAGGCAATACTCAGTCAAAAGAACAATGCAGGAGGTATCACAATACCTGACTTCAAACTATATTACAAAGCAATAACAATAAAAACAGCATGGTACTGGCACAAAAACAGACATGAAGACCAGTGGAACAGAATAGAGGACCCAGATATGAAGCCACACAACTATAACCAACTTGTCTTTGACAAAGGAGCTAAAAATATACGATGGAGAAATAGCAGCCTCTTCAACAAAAACTGCTGGGAAAACTGGTTAGCAGTCTGCAAAAAACTGAAACTAGATCCATGTATATCACCCTATACCAAGATTAACTCAAAATGGATCAAGGATCTTAATATCAGACCCCAAACTCTAAAGTTGATACAGAAAGAGTAGGAAATACTCTGGAGTTAGTAGGTATAGGTAAGAACTTTCTCAATGAAACCCCAGCAGCACAGCAACTAAGAGATAGCATAGATAAATGGGACCTCATAAAACTAAAAAGCTTCTGTTCATCAAAAGAAATGGTCTCTAAACTGAAGAGAACACCCACAGAGTGGGAGAAAATATTTGCCAGCTATACATCAGACAAAGGACTGATAACCAGAATATATAGGGAACTTAAAAAACTAAATTCTCCCAAAACTAATGAACCAATAAAGAAATGGGCAAGTGAACTAAACAGAACTTTCTCAAAAGAAGAAATTCAAATGGCCAAAAACACATGAAAAAATGCTCACCATCTCTAGCAATAAAGGAAATGCAAATTAAAACCACACTAAGATTCCACCTCACCCCTGTTAGAATAGCCATCATCAGCAACACCACCAACAACAGGTGTTGGCGAGGATGGGGAAAAAGGAACCCTCTTACACTGTTGGTGGAATGTAAACTAGTACAACCACTCTGGAAAAAAATTTGGAGGCTACTTAAAAAGCTAGACATGATCTACCATTTGATCCAGCAATACCACTCTTGGGGATATACCCAAAAACTGTGACACAGGTTACTCCAGAGGCACCTGCACACCCATGTTTATTGCGGCACTATTCACAATAGCCAAGTTATGGAAACAGCCAAGATGCCCCAGCACTGACGAATGGATTAAGAAAATGTGGTATCTATACACAATGGAATTTTATGCAGCCATGAAGAAGAACGAAATGTTATCATTCGCTGGTAAATGGATGGAATTGGAGAACATCATTCTGAGTGAGGTTAGCCTGGCCCAAAAGACCAAAAATCGTATGTTCTCCCTCATATGTGGACATTAGATCAAGGGCAAACACAACAATGGGATTGGACTTTGAGCACATGATAAAAGCGAGAGCACACAAGGGAGGGGTGAGGATAGGTAAGACACCTAAAAAACTAGCTAGCATTTGTTGCCCTTAACGCAGAGAAACTAAAGCAGATACCTTAAAAGCAACTGAGGCCAATAGGAAAAGGGGACCAGGAACTAGAGAAAAGGTTAGATCAAAAAAATTAACCTAGAAGGTAACACCCACGCACAGGAAATCAATGTGAGTCAATGCCCTGTATAGCTATCCTTATCTCAACCAGCAAAACCCCTTGTTCCTTCCTATTATTGCTTATACTCTCTCTACAACAAAATTAGAAATAAGGGCAAAATAGTATCTGCTGTGTATTGAGGGGGTTGTGGTGAGAAGGAGGGGGTGGAGTGGGTGGTAAGGGATGGGGTAGGGGCAGGGGGAGAAATGACCCAAGCCTTGTATGCACATATGAATAATAAGAAAAAAAAAATGATCAATTTTACAATATGTAAACTCACCACAAAAAAAAGAAAAAATATGTCACAATTTATCTATACAACAAGATACTATGCAGTGTTTTAAAATAGTATAGATCTATACACAGATCTAAAAATATTACATTGCTTGTTAAATAGATATGCTTTCAGATATTTATATGTTTACATTCATCTATAACTGTACGAAAATACAAAAATACCTAGAGACATACATACATACTAAGTTTGAACAATGGTTACCACTTGTGGTATTAGCTTATAGGAAATACTTTTACTTTTTATCTTTAAATTCTTTTAATTTACAAAAGTGATTATATGATTGATTTAAAATCAGAATACAGACATCAAACCATATTAACACATTTTCAAAAGTTTGGGAATAAAAGAAGGAGCACTGCATTCATAAAGCCTATAGAGGCTGCAATAGATACAGGATTTAGGTTGTGATGAAATTTACAAAGGCTATAGTAAATATGGGGCACTTAGATTGGCTTGTGTATACCAAAGATCTCACTAAAAATTGAGTATAATCACAATAACTTTCTATGTAACTGTTTTAATTCTAAACTGGTAAAAGGGGGCCAGGCATGGTGCCACATGCCTATAATCCCAACTGGGGGATGATTGTGAATTTGAGGCCAGCCTGGGCTATGTAGTGAGACCCTTTCTCAAAAAAACATGGCAACAATAACATGAAATATATTGAAGCATATTATTTTCAGTGGAAACAGAATAGCTAAGGGAAAGGCAGAGTGAGGGATCTGTACTGTGCACAGAGAAAATAGTTGTACAAATGATGGACACAGCTCCTTTTTATAAAACAGTCCTAGAAATGACTAATTTTGTGTTCATGTGCTCTAAGTTTTACTGTCCTTCTACTCCAAGAGCTCAATTTCTTTTATCCTATCCTATTTCCTCTTGTGAAAAGAAGTGCACAATTTGACCAATTCCCAAAAGGACCAGCAGGAATCAAACTCTGGTAGCATGTCCTTCTCATTCTTGGGTCTAAGATGATTTTCCTATTGGTTTCATCACGGTTTGTGCCAATGTCATTTTGCAGTAGATGAAGGAATCATCTCAGGAAGAAAAGCACCTGGAGGAGGTGTACTAAAAAACTGACTCCCCACAATCTCTTAAAGGTCGTATTGAGTATGAGGCTCAGGGTCATGGATGGTTTTCAAAGAGCAGAAACTTCTGTAATTTTACATGGTGTCTTCATAGTCCACATCCACAACATTTGCCTTCCTTATCCTAGAGTAGATGTCTGAGGGAATCTGGAAGCAAAGTCACATAGTTAGGACCACAGGAGGAAAGACAAGCAGATGTGCCTTCCACTGGCCCTCTTCCTTGGTTAGCCTGGATGTGTCATGTATCATGTTACCCCACATAGCACATAAATAAGAGCTTCTTGGAAGACTGTGGACCACCAACAGCATTTTTAGAGGGCCTATAGCCCACTGGAGGCTACAGAGCTCCTGAAGAGCTGCAAATGGATCTCTCATTTTTACGGGCCATTATTAGGCAGTCCCATGAACTGTCATTTCTTAAGGATGTTGGAATTCGTAGACTAAATTTAGTATGTCACTGGAGTTTTCCAAGGACTTGAATTCTGTCATGAGATATCTGGCTGCCATACTACACTAGACAAAACTGAAAATTACCTACTGTCATCCACACTTGGACAGAGTTGGAATACTTAAAGTTTTCAGAAAGTATTTTTATGGTATCAGGTGTATCTTGAATTGTTCAAGATTCACAAATTGCTGATTTTTCATAACATATCACTATTAGCCTAATTTTGTTCAATATTAACTTAGTTTGCTACAGATTGCTTCATTAATCTTGCAGTGATGGATGTATGGTTTAACAGTGTTTTAAGGTAAAGATTTTCAAATAAGTAGAAATTTAAAACTAGTTATACACTGCAGTTGAACTACAAAGCCTCCATATGTCCATTGCTAAGCTACATGTACATGTAATTCTCCAAAATTCCCTTTTAATTCCTTACTGTTATAGCTAAATGTTTTTACTTTCATTGTGTTGTAGTAAGGGACTATAAGATTTTACCTCTTTCGGGGTGGCACTATTTAAAGTTTGAGAACCATTCCCAGAGGAAACAGAAAAAGTGCATGAAGTGAAGAAGAATAGGAGACCTTCTCACCTTATTCTCACCATGTGTTCTCAGATGTTCAGCTGTGGAAGAAAAGTCAGTGCTTTGAGATCCCACTTACACTTAAAGTCTTTCATCACTAAACTCCTGTTAATAAAGGCTTCTTCCTCATCCATATCGTTTCCATCGGTTGATTTTCACAAGTATGATTACCTTAGTATCCAGAGAAATTCTGACAGCCTAGGATGAGTGGGTAAGTATGCCCCTTCTGGCATAAGGGATGCCTTTATACCTCTCAGCTTTTCTGGGCCTGCCATGTACAGCATGGGTCAACCACAGCAACTAGGCAGCTGTGATGGAATGTGTAGGGCTCTTTAAAGAGAGCAGGCAAAGGCCACTATCTTTGAGGCTGCCATATGAAGCATGGCATAGACCAAGTTAGTGTTAGCACAGGGCTCTACTCAAGGCAGCTTCCAGAGCAAAAGTCAGACTTCAAGTAGGCACAGTGATGCTTACAGTAGCACAAAGTGCAGAGGCAGCCGCTCTGAGTAACACTGCCATACTGCCATACTCTTGGTTCTGGGAAAGACAAAAGTCAGAGAAAAATTCACACACACACACACACACACACACATACACACACGTACATACCCTGTGTCTCACCTGCTGCTGGTTCCTGTTCCTGCTGGATTTGGTACACCAAAGAATAAACCTCATCCCCTCTTACAACATTCACTGAAAGAGAAAAAAGAACACATCAGTACATAATTGCTTCTTCCTGTCATTCAACTTACTCCATACCCACTGCCTATCAGAACCATGAAAACAGACGATTCATTTATATGCAGAGAAACTGGGGCACAGCAGTATCAGTTTTGATGAGCAGACATCATTTTGGTCCACCTCCCAGCTTGCCATACCCAGGTCATTTGGGAAGGCTCACCATTTTCATATATAGGCTGTAGCTGCACAGGGTCAGATGAGTTGAGGTAGCTTGGTTCTTGGGGTACAGGGTTGGGAAAGGTCCTGCAAATACAGAAATACATACTATCTGTCTGGGACTGCATCCCAAATGTCCCAGATATAATTATCTGAGATTGTAAAATATGAAGGAGAGAGGCCTGTTAAAATGGTCCTGAGAATACAAATGCACTGAACAATGAGCAGCGGGAATGTGCAGCTGTGTGTTATGAACCACAGCCTTATACACAGGCTGAGTGGGATACTGCAGTGCTCTATTGCATATGTGTAAGGTCCTTGGGTGACTGTTTCACTGTAGTGTTGTCCATACCCATTCACATTAGAAAGGCTCAGTAAATACTAAACAAAGAAATATGGAAAGCAGGTAGCTAGCCAGCACAAGCAACTAGAAGAACATGATTATGCTTGTAATGTACCCCCAGAGATTACTCTGATTTGGAAAAAATCTATTTATTGTCATCATAAACAATAATGCACTATAAAAATACATCAACTAAACATTGGTATCCCTAGATGGAAGTATTTTAGAGATGTTTTCCCCTTCTAAACCTCTAAAGAATCTCATCAATAATTTTTCAGTACGTTATCACTCTGTCTTGCATTTCAGAGATCTGTGTTTATTTTACTTACCCTAAAATAAGACTCTCAAGCTCTTTCCGTGTAGTCACACCTCTCAGCAGTCAACAGAATGACTTATAAACCCTCAGATATTGGCTGACTGTTTGGATGAATGAATGGTCCTAGCTAAAGCAATGGAACTTTCTTATTTTGCAAATTTATTAAGTGGCATCAATAGGGGAAATGGTGAAATAATTTAAAGTAATTAGTTACCACATGAAATCTAAATGAGGGGAAATAGCAAGCAAAGGGTCAAAGTTGCCAGTCAGACAACTCAGAAATGAGTTTTAAGTATAAGATGACAGGGAGAAAGCTCATGGGAGAAGACAATTCAATTTTTTTTTAAGTTTTGCTGTGTTATCAGAACCTAGGGAGAAAGCAGGGGGTCTCACCTGAGTGGATCACCTGAGCATCTTCCTGCAAGACAAAAAAAATGGGTATACATGTCAATGTTTCCATACAGCCACTTGTGCAGTGATGCACCTACTGCCAGGACACCATCATGTGACCAGAGGACATACATGAGGAGACTCAGGTCTGGAATAGTTAAGTAAGCTTCCCAAAGAAGTAAGTACCAGAGGTAGGACTTGAACCCAGGTGTTTGAAACCTCATGTCTACAATATGCTTTGTAGCCACACCACTCAATCTTATCCTGCCAAAAGTCCTGGGAGGCAGGTGCAAAGTTAAATACATAAACGAATATGCAATTACAAATTGTGATAAAGTGGGAAGATACATAACTTGCAATCCGTAATAGAAGAGAGCAATTGCAGGATGTGTCATATACACATAGGTGAAACCTCCTGAAAAAGGTAACAGTTCAGCAGGAAAGTGAGGAAGATCCAGCAATGATTAGAACCTGTGGATGTATGGTGCATACTTCAGAGAGAAGGAAATTCATTTGACAATACCCTAAGGTGAATAAGAGTTGGTGCATTGACTTCAGAACCAAGAGCTGGCCAGGATAAGCTGTTAAATGTTTTTCTCTCAGGTGAATGGTTAATTATTTTAAATAATTATGTTTTATATCTAAGAAGAATAGAAGAATAAGAATCAGCTGAATGTCAGCTGATGACATATGGGGGATAAAGAACCTGACTAAAAATGTTACACTACTTTAGTAGGCTCTGGAAGTTTGTGAGTACATCTGTGTGTAAGGTGACTTAATGCATGTATTTATCCTTTGCAGTATACATGTCACAACTCCAGCCTGTTAGTGAAAACAAAGGTCACAGTAGCACAATACCAATCTATATAAATACTAACCTATTTTTCTCTTGAACCAGTAGCAAAATAATAGGGTCACAATGATGAGACTGATGGTGCCGAGCAGTCCCTCAAGGATTCTTGAAGTGAGGTTTTCGATTCTGTTCTCCATAGGCACTGAGGGGAAAGACTGGTATGTGAGCTGCTGCGAGGAAGCGAGTGGGTTGAAAATCAGACATCTTGGGTATGGGCTCTGCTTAAAGACTGCTTTTCCCAGGAGGCATTTCCTTATTTACCTAAGGACCTTCAACTTATGAAAGAACAAAGGCACTTAACTTCCATGTCCTCCATGCCCCTCAGATACATCACCCATGGCAGCACCATGAGCAGAAGCCCTGTCTGGTTTCAGTTTCTTCTAAGATGTTGGGAAAGAGGCATTGACCAAGAAAGCTATAACCTAAGTTATACCTGTGATGTTGAGAGTCACCACCTCACTGCGCTGGGCACCATGACCATTATTGGCCTCACAGGAGTAGTTTCCAGAATGATCTTCAGTCAGAGAGAGGTTGAAGGACACTCCTCCTCTGGATGGGGCTGAGCTATTTCCCATGATCACATCCTCATGATAAAACTGGTACAGGATAGGGGGAGAGCCTCTCAGGGCCTCACAGTGAAGCTCCACCACATCTCCCACCACAATCTGGGCCTCAGAAGTCCTAAGGGTGAGGACAGGGTGGGACACTGGAACTGAGAAAAACAGTGGACTGTCAGAGAGGGATCTCCAGTGGTACAATAGGCCTATATCCCTGCCTGTTCCCAGAGGATCAGTCCCATTGAACTTCCTCAAGGTGGTCCATGGGAATGTGAAGATGAGAGTGCAACATGCTAGCTGAGCTGTGAGCCTTAAGCATCACTTACTTCTGACAGTGATGCTCACCAGCCCACTGAGAGTGGGACCGTAGCCATTGTCAGCTGCACAGTAATATTGCTCGGCATCACTCTCCTTCATGGTGATGATTTCATACTCTGCTTTCAGTGAACGCTGGGTCTTTGTTTCCAGGTTTAAACCCAGAGCCCCTCTATACCAGAAAAAGGTGATGTCTCCAGTGCCGTTATCAGCCAAGCAGATGAGAACCAGCTTGTCTCCCTCCACTACCCATCCCCCTGGGGGCTGGGTCACCAAGCTTACATCAGAGATGCGAATTCCTGCAGAAACATGAGATAACAGGACGTTGGGGATGGTGCTGAGTAGGAAGAGTTTCAGCGACAAGGGGTGTATATAATAGTCAAAAAAACAAAGGCTACTGGCAAAGTCAATAACTTATATAGCATAACTTGGGGGCAGAGTTCTGCTGACTTGGAATCAGCTTTGGTTGGGTTAATGACTATAGGGTGAGAAAGACACCAAAATATTACCACAGAGAACGTGGTATCACCTCCCTCTCTGGGACACAGGATTCTCCTTGCCTGGATTTTCAAACTTTCCTTTATCAAGGCATAATAGCATAGTGACTGGAAGTCCAAATTGTAAATTGAATTGGTTGTTCCAACTCTTACTTGCTGTACATGCTTGATCAAATTACTTAACTTCTTTAACACCCAATTTCTCATCTTTAAATGGAGAGAATAATGTAGTTATCTCCTGCAGCTGAGGGTTTCAATTAAACTACAATGTGAAAGTGTTAGAAAAGTGCCTCCTATTCCCATTGTATTTAAGCTGTTCAAGGTTTTTATGGTGGTAGGATGGGGTAAGGGTAGATTTTGTTTAATAAATGAATTTTTAGCAAGTCTGGAACTACCCAGTACTCTGTAGGTACTAAATATTTGTTTTTTATGGAAGAAAATGTCATAATTTTCAACTCTGACATGGAATGACATAATTCAGAATAATGAAACACCCTCTTTGTGTTCTTTCAAAATCAACCCCCTCCACAAGTCCTTTTCCAAAAGACTACTCCACACACTTCTTCCAAAAAGCCTTCACTTGCTACCTTGCTTTGCTGAGCCTAAAGAGGGAAGGACATCAGGATAGCTACATCCACCATCAGGGAATGGCAGGGGAGGTACGTCACATTTTGCTCTCCTCTCCCCAGCTCTGACTCTGGAAGAGTATCCCTCTAACACTTACTCTGCACATAGATCTGAAACCGTGGGCTCCTTGTGGTGCTGTGCGTCTCAGTCTCTACCTCACACCAGTAGGACCCTGAGTCTTCCTTCCATATGGCAGGTATCTGGAGTTCTGGGTAGCTGCTGCAACCTGACGCCAAGAGCTGGCTATCTCTGTAGAAGCAGAACTGGAACTGTACATTTGACTTCTGTGGAAGGAACTGGATCTCACAGGTAAGGATCACTGAACTCCCCTCTATAGGCTTGGAGGGCTGAGCTTTCAGCACAGGACGTGGAAGCAACTCTAGAGAGAAGAGTTAAACACAAATCCAGGGCAATAGGAATCAAAATTCATGGTGAGAGGCATTTTGTGTTCTCAGCCAGCTGGACACAGAGAACATCCCTCACATCCCCTGGGTGGCAAATGGGCTTCACCATGAACCCACAGTGTTTATTACAGCACTTCCTGCTCCTATGCAGCACCATCTACTTCCAGGAGGCAACCTTCACCTCTGACTTCAGTCTTATTCTTTTTCGAGATTTCTATCCAAGAGCTAAAATTCCCTTTCTCAAAGTCAATGGAGGGATATTAAAGACTATCACTGAAGTTGGCATTGGAGATGGTAAAGCTTGAAGTTTTAGGAAAAGTGAAGGAATTTGTTTCATCTTCTTTGTGTGTATGTGTGTTGCTAGGGATGGAACTCTGCACATGCTAGGCAAGTGCTCTACCATAGAGCTACACCTCCAGACCCATTTCTCTCATTTTTGCTATGGGCCATGTTTGCTATTTCCTTCTGTTTCCTTTCCCTGACATCTCAGATCCATATCTCTCTCAATGACAGAATATGGGACCTGGAGGATCCGTCACTGTGACAATGAAATAGAGAAACTATTCACCTCTTTCTGACCCTGCCCTACCCCTACCATAATTAGTCCTGTTGGAAGAAAGGGAGTGCACTTGCCTAGAAATGCCCTGTGCCCATCATCCCTACAGCCCAGTTTCCTTCATCCAGAGCTTGTAACAGAACTCCACAGAAGCCATGATGTGAGGAGCAAATTTAACCCATGCCTTAAACTGACAGGACATATCCTTTTATGACTTAGGAGTTGTCTTCTGGATAAAGATGGTTAAAGTTGCATTTTTCCATCACCTCTCTCCTTATTACTACCAAGGCAATAGCACACAAAATGTCACAACTCTGAAAGCACTGGCTCTTTGTGCATTTATCTAATCCTCATATTCTCTAACATTTGGGAGATTTTAATAGTTGTCCTAAAAGAAACACTCTCCCTCTCCCCATCTCTTTCTCTTTCTCTCCCTCTTCCTCTCTCTTTCTCTCTTCTTCCCCTTCTTCTTGCCTCCCTACCAAATGAAAATGCCAAGTGCTCTGGATCACTGTGGGACGATTTCTGGGCCAGCATCTATAATTTCCAATCCTTTCTACTATAAAGCTTTACCCTTCTCAACCTTTTAAGCATCAGTTCTATCCATGGTTACAATAATGCTCCCTCTACAGAATGGTTCCCATACTTTTTCTCCTCAGAAATCTGTAGTCCCCAGGCCATTGACACACAGCATAGCTTTTGGAGCTGAGCAGAAAACAAAATAAAAACAAGTAAGCCATTGCAACCCACTTCTCAGAATGGGACCAAGGAGGGAATGGAGCAGGAAGTCAGACAGGGATAACTGTAAGAGTCTGGAGCTCTGCCTTACAGTTCAGAATTTGTTTCAGATAATCTCATATTACAAAGATTACCTGGAAAATACCTGGAAACTGTTTTTTCATCTTTGATAGATTTGTGCTTAGGCTAGGATTGGGCACCTGGGCTTAGGCATAAAGGAGTGACCAAGCACAAGGAATGACTAGCATTAAAACAGGTGACATACTGAATGAGGAGAATTAGGAAAAAAGAAGTATGAGACTCAGACAAGCATCAGATAAGGGAAGAGAAAGATTAGGTTGATTTTGACCTCTCTGATCATGTGAATTCCTGACCCTATGTTATTTGAATGGGAAAAACAACTTCTTTTAAACTTGTGGTTAGTATTTTATACAGAAGAGAGTAGTTCTCACATGTGTGATTTGAATATGCTTTAGTGAAAGATTCCTTGTGGTGAGAAATTTTCCTACTGTTCTCCTCTGGGAAAGGTAAGACTTTGAATCAGGATCAGAATAATAAAGTAAATTTGCATACACTGAAGTCTGAGAGAGACAGCTGTGGCTACAGAGTAGAGCGAAAGATAGGAGGCAAACATATGGCTTCATTTCACAGGTGACCTGAGGACTGACTGCAGTGCTGTTCCCCATGGCTGTGTGACTTCGGCATTTCATCCATTGCCCGTGGTGGAGTACCCAATTCAGAAGACCATGGCAAACAAAGACTCTTCTAACATGAATCTGTGAGGCCCTCTACCTTCTTTGTGCAAATGGCATCTCCCTGTTATGCAGAGGCTTTCCAGAAATAAGATTCTGGAGATGGTAGAGAAAAACCTGCTCACCTAGCTGAGCAGACACAGCTCAGAGTTACCCAGGGCCCAGGGGAGCCACTGATTTCTGTACACTTCAAAAACTGTCACCAGATGTGTCTTAGACACGCAGGGGCTGCTCAGAGGGTCATCCACAGGTCTCCTATTCTGACCTGAGTGACAAGGTACCACAGACTATGACGAAGACAAGAAAACACAACTCACCAGCAGGTTCACAGAGTGGAGCTGGAAGAGAATTCAGTAAAGATCAGTACGGAGTAGTGAGTCCCAGAGCACACAAAAGTCTAACTCCTTAGAGAGCTCTCCCAACAACACACCCTCCTTCCCTCATGCCCTCCCCATGTCTCTACCTCTCTCTATCCTTCACTCACTCTCTCTCTCCCTCCTTCCCTCTTTTATTTTCCCTCCCTTGTTAACTTTTTCCCCTTCTCTTCTGCCTTCCTTCCTTCTTTCTCTTGGTTCCCTTCCCCACATTCCATATCACCCACGGGCCACCTGCCCACAAAACACATCGTTCTTTTTTTATGATCATAAAGTAATTTCCAAAAACTTTTGTCATCTATGATTAGGAGATGATGCCTCTGTTCTTAACTACTCAGTAGCTCTCTCTCTTCAACACTGTTGTCCCCATTCCTTTCTCCTTCTCTGAAAAGTGTTAATGATCCAGCTCTGGACTCACTGCCTCATAGTAGCAACAAAGTTGGGCAAGGAGGCTTACGGTCTCATGCTCAAGGCATGGGGGTTCCATGATTTGCCAACTGCAGAGGAGGCTTGGGTCCAAAGAAAGTGCACAGATTTCTCCAAAGCTTCTCTCCTAACCCCGAGAATTTAACCATAATATTATGGAATAATGGTCAAAAGGGGAAATGCAGGCTTGTATTTAGATAGTGAAGTTTTTTATCTTCATTCTTTATCTTACAAGCTGTGTGACCCTGGGGGGAGGGGGAGGAATGGTTCCCCTCTCTGTGCCATAATATCCTTTTCTATGAAACAGAGATAATAATAGTATCTACTACATAAAGTTTTGTGAGGATCAAATGAGTTGATATGTATAAAGTGCTTAGAATGGCACCTAAAATTTCCTTAGCATCCAATAACAATTGTCTCATTGTTATTATTATCTTTATTATGTTTGGTCTGAAATGCCCACTTTTTTAGTTAAAGTCTTGTTTGAATAATTTGTTCCTCAGGTAGGAGTAAGAATGAATGGGAGCTAGCTAGCACAAAAATTATATTTTATGTATTCATTCATACAACAAATGAGTTTCAATGCTTATTACATGCATTGAGCATGCCACTGAGGTTACAGGTAGGGATATAAACAATGGTCTTTAGTGACAAGGAATTTATACTACAGTGGGGGAGAGACAACTAAAAACAATATGTAGTAGTCATATTATATACTAAATCAGTTAGAGAATGATTGGTTCTAAAAGAAAAATAGAGACATAAGTTACAAAGTACTCAGTATGATCTTGATTATCTAGATAGATTCCATTTCAGAAGAAACCTGTGGAAAATCAGGTTGTCATCAGGTCTATTGACTATTTGGAAAAGAGAATTTTGAGCAGAGAAAAAGAGAAAATCTGAAGACCTTGATGCGGGGGAAGAGCTTGTCCAAGGAGGAATGAGAAGACAATTGACCCTGCAGCAAATGAGGTGGAGGACAATAGTAGACACTAGTATGCAAGAGGTAGCAGGAGCCAGGTACTGGTGGCTCATACCTGTTATCATAACTACTCAGGAGGCAAAGATCAGGAGGATCATGGTTCGAAGCCAGCCTGGGCAAATAGTCTGTAAGACCCTATCTCAAGAAAAACTATCACAAAAAGGGGGGCTGGTGGAGTGGCTCAAGGTGTAGGCTCTGAGTTCAAACCCCAGAACTGTGAAAAAAAAAAAAAAGAAGTGGCAGGAGCCAGTCCTGGGGTCCTTATGGACTTGGGTACAATTTGGGATTTCATTCTAGGTGTGATGGAGAGTCATAGACAATTCTGATTTAATTTATATTTGTTAGATCCTTCTGATACCACGAGAAAAGCATGCTATAGAAGTACAAGAAAAGCAGGGAATTAAATTCCCACTAACTTAGTAGGTATTTAGTCAAGGAGACTATCAATAATGACTCAGATAGATAATGGCTCAGATTAGGCAGCCTTGGTACTGTGATGTGATCATATTTTAGCTTAAATTTCAAAAATACAACAAAACTATTTTTTAAAAATCTTAAAGTAGAATCAATATAGATTAGATAGAAAGTATTAGAGAGTAGAAAGTATGAGAGAGACAGAGAAAGAGACAAAGAGAAAGACAGAGAGAGAGAGAATAAATTCGAAATTTGTGGCCACAACAGGAAGAATGGTTGGTTAATGACCTCAACTAAAATGCAGAAGTTGCAAGGATAAATAGGTTAAGTTTTGTGGTGGTAGAGGTAAAGGTGAAAGATCAAGAGAACTGCTTAGCAACCCATCTATATATTAATGTAATAAAGTGTAATGCATTGTAAACTGTTATATATTAGGGAAACATGGTGATAGAGAAAGAGTAAGTAATGGGGAGTTAAATCGATTAAAGCATGATATATACAGGCCCAAAGTACCAAGAAGAAACCTCCTTGGACTATCAATATGCACTTTCTTAAAAAATGAAGGACAAAGGGTAAAACAGGTCTTTTCTGAGGAGGGGATGGGCATAAGGAAAGGATGAATGAGTGTTAATATGGTGGATGTGTTTCAAATTCATGTATGAAAATAGAGGAAGGAAACTTGTTGAAATTGTTCTAAAAAGAGGGAAGGGGAAGAGGGAGAACAATGGAGGGGGTAAATCTAACTAAGATATAGTCTAAGCACATATATAAATACCACAGTACAACTATTATATGCTAATAAAAGAGGTTTGTTTAAGATGCCTATTAGACACCTGAATATCCATTAAATGCATGAAAGGTACTCAAAGATGAGGTCAAGGCCGGAGACATAAGTTTGAGTTTAATCCTAAAATGACACATTAAGTGACAAAAATAACATAATATAGGAAGTGAATATGATGAAGAGAAATCTAGATTTCAGCCTTGGGAATTGCCAACACTTTAAGGTCAGTAAAGAATCCAGCACAGGCACTGGAGTATCAGTATTAAGCAGGAAAGAGAAGCAACAGAGTATGGTATTCTGTAAGCCAAGTGAAAAGCATGCTCCTGAGATGCTGAGTAAATAAGGATGGAAGTGGACTCCTGGATGAGGTAACATGGAGGTGGTAGATGATATTAGCAAGGACAGTTTCAGTGGAGTGGTGGTGATAAAAGGTTAGTTGAAATTGGTTCAAGAAACAACGAAGAGAACAATTTAGCAGTTGCCAGGGGTTAGGAATAGGAGAACAGCTGACCATAAAGACATTGAAGTGATAGAAATTGAAGACATTGAAGACATTTGAAGTGATAGAAATGATCTATACTTTGATTGTGTTGATAATCACATGACTAAACTTTCGTCAAAAATCACAGTGTTTCAAAAAAAAGGTGAATCTTGATGTAATTAAAAATTAAAAATGAAGTTTAAAAGAAGAAAGGATGGAAGGAAGTGAAACAAAGCAACTCACTGAAAACATGAAGAGGCAGAGAATTGGTATACTGAATGAAATAATCTTTAGGTCATATTTTTATAATTTTAAGATAAAAGATATTACAGCATTTTTGTGTATCTATGGAAATAATCAACAATAAAGAAATGTTTTAATGGTGGAGGGAAAGTTTTGAGAAATGAAGAGAGGACTGGGACCCAATGCACAAGTAAAGAGTCCTGTCTTTGATAGAATGAGAGAGGTCATATTCATGGTGGGGGAGGGGAGGCAGAGTGTACGAATTCAGAGCTGAGTGGGCTGGTAGGTACAGCAGTAGAAATATGAGGAAATTTTTTGTGGTTGTTTTTGTGTTTGCAATGAAATGTGAAGAAGAGCTATAGCTTGAGAATAAAAAGGGATACATTTTAAAAGAAAGAAGAAGGTATGAATTAGTGGTCATTATGAGTAGGAGAACAAGGCCATAAATGTGTAGGATTATTGCCTGGTAGTGATCATGACCCCTTGATATTTGGGGCTCCACATGAAATGGAGGTAAGACAGCAGGGATGTCCTTGTATTTAAAGTTCTATTCAACTTCTTAGGCATAGGTATAAAGCATGCAGAAAAAATGTGTTTATCAGGACAGTACTGTGGGGGAAGGGAGTTGAGAGTGTCGCCTAAATAGTGTTGTGGTGATGGGCTGCAGCATCTAAGCAGAGTAATCGTGTGTGAGCATATGAAGTGTAATAATTGATAATGGAAAAGTAACCTTAGGGAGCCAAAGACAGTTTGGAGAGAAAGTGATAGAGAAAGTAAGCTAGAAATACAATGGAGAGGAGAGACTGTTGAAAACTAAGGGGCAATAAGTTCTAAGGTTTGGCAGTAGGAATGGGTCATCACAGAGGGATAAAAGGAAAAATGTTGATAATAAGAGAAACAAAGAATTGAGAGTCCAAGGTGTAACAATTTTTGTGGCTGTTGAAATCAGGAACAAAGATAGATTAATACTGGAAAGGAAGACAGGCAGTGAGCATTTCCTATGATATAAAAACTAAAATGATAGTTTCCTTCAAAGAATCTGGCTTTCTATTTCTGCCTGACTCTGAGCACTCAGTTGGAAGTAGAAATCTGAGAATTGCTGAGTATCTCAGAACAACACCAGGCAGAAACTTAACCCTAAGAAGCCCCCATCGCTTTCCAGGAGGTACAGTCTAGTGTGGTAGCATCCCAGACCCTGCTTTGAGTTGTCTGACTTACCACAGATCACCAGCAAGAGCCTCAGCAGCATGAGGGCCAGGTCAAGGATGATAAAGGAAGATGCACCTCATCAAAAAAGTAATCCACTTTAGAGTCAAGAGGTGACAGCTTGTCGGATGTTTGAGGAAGTCAGGATCGGAAGTTACCCTTCAGCACAGGTTTACAGAAATAGAAGAAGAAGAAAAAAGCTCTCCAATGGCCAATTTATATTTCCTCTCGTATATTAGCTAAGAACATTTAAGATACTCCCTTTTTATGATTTTGTTCAATTCCACAACTCGTGGATAAAATATACACAAAGGCCTTCAAGAACTCAGGTATCCATGAAATATAAGTTAGCATACAGTAAATATACCTGCACACCCATACCTGCATAATAGCCAAGCAATGTATTCAGCATAGGTGCCCATCAACAGATAAACAGATAAAGAAAATGTGGTGTATATACACAATGGAGTATTATTCACCCATAAAAAAGCATGAAATTATGTTGTTTGCAGGAAAATGGGTGGAACTGGAGATCATCATAAACTAAATAAGGCAGACTGAGAAAGAAAAATATTTTCTTCATATGTGGAATCTAGACATATGTATGTGTATATATATATACATATATATACACAAATAATATACATTACATGAATGTAAAAGAGGAACTGTTGGGGGGATGGGGGTTAATATGATTGAAACACATTATATGCACATGTGAAAATAGCAAAATGAAAGCCATTAAAAATTGGGGGGAAAGGAGAGAGGTGAGAGGGGGGTTAAGGAAGTAGTAGGAGTGAATATGATCAAAGTACATTATATGCATGCATGAAAATATTGTAATAAAAACCCCTTTGTACAATTAATATTTGTTACTAAAAAGGAAATGTCACTAGGATTAAAAAGAATAGGAAATTAAAATTTCATGTCTTTGAACTGTGCCTTGATTGAGGGTGAGATAATTTAATTTCTGATTTTCCCATCTCTGAACTTTAACTTGTAGGGAGATTTAATTTTGGACTTTGAACTCTGGTAATTTGATATTGATGGAGTTTATGTTCAAGTCTAGAACACTACACTTCAGTATTTTATTGTTGGGATGCCTTTGTGATATCATTCAATTTTACTGTGTAACCCCTGGTAGGTTGTGTTGGTCAGTGTGGCTGGAAATAATTTGAAATGGAAAACAGAAGAGGTTCTCCAATTCCATTTTGATTGTAGAAAGGCCTCATGGAACATGCTGTACTCTACTGACCCATCTCAGAACCTCATGGGACCAGAACCCAGTCTGCTTGTTCAGGAAGATCTCCAATGGAGAAGGGACTTTCTGGGAGGGTGGGGGGATGAGGGAGAGTTTACCTCTCTGAGGATACTGTCTTCACTTTTAGTTGACAATAAGCATCCTGACTAGACATAATGGATTCAAAGAATCAAAATTGAAGAATTTGGGAGAAACAAAAAAAGAACTCAGGTGTCTCAAATGAGGCTTCCCAAAGACTGTTCCTGACTAGTTCTGCTGAAATTCAAGTAGCATCTTTGCTAAGGATGTCTCCCCAATGTCTAATCAACACATTGTTCTTTCTCAGCAGTCTCTAGTGTAGTCACACTATGCAAACATGTCATTAAGCCAGGAATTGATGGGGCTGTCACTGGGTTATGTATAGTGTCTGCTAGTTATCACAAATGATTTGTACAAGGTCAAGCTGTTCATACAGATCTAATTTTCCATATTTAAACTGTGCATCAATAAATGAGCGTGAAACAGCTGAAAAGCAAAACCATGGGGAACTTCAATCTGAAGAATGTTTTAAAATAAAATACAGGAAATAAGCAAATGCAGATTGGCCTCTGGGCATTTAGGAAGAATTCACCAGTAGCATGACCTCTGGCATTTGTGATATTACCCCTCACCTCATCCCAAAATCAAGATATCTGTAATCTCTCCCACTGCTCTACTTAGTATACTAGAGGTACCACTTTGTAGCCCCCTCCCAAGCCTGTGTTTAATTCAGATTATGGATTACAGGAGAATAAGTTATCCTAATTTTCAAATTTTCTTGAATCTTTGAGTATCTAGGATTAAGAATAGCCAAACAAGGTATGGAAACTAAGCTGCTAGAGAACATGGAAATGTGCTATTCAGGAATGCCACTCAAATCCAGATATCAAGTCCAAACAGGAAGACTGAGAACAGAATGCAGTGGTTAGGGATGTGAAAACCTGACAGGAAAAGAGTTCAGTGCTGAGAACCAGGCTAAAAGCCCCTGGGAAATTGTTGAAAATGTGACAGGTGCACCCACAGCTTTGCTTATGGGCTTATATGCAGAGATAAATTTGCTAAATTTAAAGTGTTGGGACCAACACAGAAAATTCTCTTCCTTAAGAATGTGGTGCCCTCTAAACCCAAGGTGTAAGGAGTTTTGCACACACTGTGTATTTCACATTTCTTTTTCCTGTACTCATGTATCCTGCTCCAGGGCCCTCAGAGTTTCTTCAGATTAAAATATCTTCCCAAGGCTATACTTTCAGAGTATAATCTTCCTTCCTCCCCAGAAATAAAGGCTTTTTAAAAATCAGCTTCTTGGGGTATAATTAACATACATTAAAGTGAATCCATTGTAAGTATACAGTGCAATGATTGTTGACAAAATTATACGCTAATGTAAACACAGTCACAATCTAGAACATTTCCATCTCTCAGCATGGTTTTTTTTTTTTTTGTATGCATGCCCTTTCCCAGGCACCCCAGACCTCTGTTAGTCTTTTCAAAGAAACAACTTTTTGTTTCATTGATTCTTTGTATAGTTTTTTTGGTCTCAATCTCGTTGATCTCAGCCCTGATCTTTATTATTTTTCTCCATCTGCTGGTTTGGGGTTTGGTTTGTTCTTATTTTTCTAGGAGCTTAAGGTGCATCATTAGGTTGTTTGAGAGGTCTCTGTTTTTTTCTTAATGTAGGCACTTATAATTATAAATTTTCTCCTTAGCACACAGCCTTTGCTATGTCCCACAGATTCTAGTCTGCTGTGTTTTCATTTTCATTAGATCCTAGCAACTTTTTGATTTCTTCCTTTATTTCTTCAGTCACCCACTGGTCTTTAAGCAGTGGGTTGTTTAGACTCCCTGTGTTGGAATATTTTCTGTGGTTTCTTTTCTTGTTGGTGTCTGGTTCTATTCCATTGTGATCTGATATGATGTAGGGTGTTATTTCAATTTTCTTGAATTTTTTGAGACTTGCTTTGTGTCCTAAAATATCTATTTTGGAGAAAGTTCAATGACTTGCAGAAAATAATGTGTATTGCCTGGTTGTTGGGTGAAATACTCTGTAGGTATGTCTATTGGTCTAATATGTGGAGTAGCTCTGAAGTTTCTTTGTTGATCCTTTGTCTGTATGACCTATTAGTGACAGTATTCAGGTCTCCCACTATCACTATGTTAGAGTCTATCTATGCTCTTAGGTCCATTAGAGTTTTTTTTTAATGTAGATGGGTGCCCTTGTGATTGGTGCATATATGTTAAGGATATATATTTCCGCTTGAAGAATTGTTTAATTAATGTGAAGTGGCCTTCATTGTCTCTTCTGACTGATTTCAGTCTGAAGTCTACTTTGTCAGATATGAGTATAGGTACTCCTGCCTGTTTATGAGGTCCATTTGCTTGAAAAACCTTTTTCCACCCTTTGACTCTAAGCCAGTGTTTATTTTTTTCAGTGACATGAGTCTCTTGTAAGCAACATATGGTTGGTTCTTATTTTTTTAAGCGAATTTGCTAGTTTATGTCTTTTGATTGGAGCATTGAGTCTATTTACACTCAGTGTTAATATTGAGAGGTTTCTGTTCTTTCCAGTCATTTTTATTCCCCTGTTTTTTTAGTTTTACCTTTTCCTTGTTTACTGATCCACTTGCTCAAAAAGGATTATTCTTTTTGAGTATTACTATCTCACTTTAGTTTCTTCTTCTGTATGTAAAAGTCCTATAAGTATGTTCTATAGTGCTGGCTTAGAAGTCATGAATTCCTTTAGTTTTTCCTTATTATGGAAGATTTTAATTTCTCCTTCAATTAAGAAGGATAGTTTTGCTGGATAGAATAGTATAAGTTGACAGTTGCTTTCTTTCATGTCCTGAATTATATCTTTGCATGACCTTCTTGTGTTTAGAGTTTGTGTTGAGAAATCTGTTGTTATTCTAATGGATTTGCCTTTATATATGATTTGTCTTTTCTCTTTTGCAGTTTTCAGTATTCTTTCTTTGTTCTGTTTGCTGAGTGTTTTGATTAAAATATTTCTGGGGGTGTTTCTATTTTGGTCCTGACAGTTAGGTTTCTGTAAACTTCCTGCACCTGGGTGATTGTCTGTCAAGATTGAGGAAGTTCCAGCTATTATTCTATTGAATAGGTTGTCAGTGGCTTTAGTTTGTATCTCCTCTCCTTTTTCTACACTTATGATTCATAGGTTTGGTCATTTCATGGTGTCCCATATGTCTTGCATGCTCCATTCTTATTTTCTTAGCATTCTTGTATTATCTTTTACTGTTTGGTCTAATTCCTCTACTTTGTCTTCTGTTCTAATATTTTTATTTTGAACTTGCTCCACTCTGTTTACCAAGCTTTTAATAAAGATTTTTATTTGGGATATTGAGTCATTTATTTCACATTGATTATTTTTCAGGGTTTCCATATCTTATTGATTTCCTCTTTCATATACCGCATAGTCTTCTTAATTTCTTTTATCAATTTCTTTGTATTCTCTTTGAGCTCATTTAATTGTTTATTCACATCCTTTTTGAGGTTAGATGCTAGTTTTGTGTTTCTTCTTTGAGTTTATTAATCATTTTTTTGAAATTCATTATTTGATATCTTTTCCTCTACACAGGTGTTTAGATCCTTAGTGGTGGAGTTGGCCTTTGAAGAAGAGCAGTTGTCTTGCTGTTTCATTCTGCATTAAGATTTACTCATCTGGAGTTGTTTTTGGTTAGGGTTTTATTCCCTTGTGCCCCTGTGGTTGAGGTTTTGAGTTTTCTCTCCTGGAGTTCCAACAGTTTTCCTCAGAGGTGGGTATGCTGAAGACTTT